TGTACCCATGGTGATATTGGGAGCAAAATTGTTTTGATACCAGATGATAGGATCTAGGGATTTTGTGATAATTCGACTCGGGAAATCGTCCTCCAAGTTTTATTAATTTTCTTCCTGCCAAAACACAAGTTTACAATCTAATTTAAAGAATATATATATATATATATATGAACACTACAAGAAAAAAAGTTTAGGTTGAAGCAAAAAAATAAGTTTTTACTTCGATTAGGAAATCTGAAGCAAAAAATGGAATATTTGTATCGATATTAGGTTGAAGCAAAAATTTTTGAAGTGAAAATTAATTTTTTTTTATTTAGGTTGAATATCGAAACAAATCAGAATAAAATTCTAAAGCAAAATCTTTAATTCATTACGACATAATTTTGTTTGTTAACCAAAAATTATAAAAATAGTTAGGGAAGCATAAAAACAGTTCGAATTTGTTTAAGAAAATTGAGCCAACGATTTAAAATCACTCCCACAAAAATTTCCCTCTCACATATGTCACATCCAATTCCAATCCCAAAGGTTTAAAATTGACCAAACGTTGAAATCACACCCAATCCTTAGCTCATGTGTCTGTCTCTCTTCGCTTACCCCTCGGCCTCAACACCCCAAACTTCCTCACGCCTCTCTCTGCCCCATCTCCCTCGTATCTCTCCCCCTCTCGTTGCTCCTCTGCCTCCGTCTCTCTCATCCTCCTTTCTGTTCTCCCACCCCAATCTCAGTCGAAGCAAACCACCGCTTCCCAGTGGCGACAACGACGGCATGCTTCCCAGCTCCACCAACGGTCAGGTATCTATCTCCTATTCCTAAAACCCTATCCATTAGCCGATGGTTTCTCTCTCCAAAACCTTTCAACCGATATTCTTTCGGTTATTATGGGTGAAATCAAGCCCATGATTTCCAACTGATATTCTTTTGGTTATTACCGGATTTCCAAGAGAAGGCCAAGGCCACTGCCACAACACCGGCGTCGCTCTGAGGTAGTTTTCTTTCTCCCCTCCCATTCTTTCTCTCATCTTCTCTGCGCACAAACCACCCCAAACCCTCTGTATTTTCACCCATCCACACCATTTTCTCATACTCTCACCCATATCTTTCCTCCCCCTCTCTAGCTTCCCTCTCCGTTCTCCGGCTGTTTCTCCGAAACCTCTCGCAGCACACTCCGAAACCCCTTACATCTCTGTCAACACACCCACATCCTCACAGCACAAACACACACCAACTACCATAGACCCACCAAAACCACAGCCATCACCATCACCACCACACCCGCTTCCTCGTCTGCCTCCACCTCTTCATATAATCAACACCCACCACTTGTTTGATGGTTTGCTTCAAAGAAAATGCATTATCTGATGGTTTGCATCTACTAATTTCTGTGTTCAATCTCATTCTAGTCACCTCAATTTCTAATTATGTGTTAGTCCTATAGTGATTTTAGTTTTTACACATGCAATATTCTTAAAGATTATAAACCTACATATCTGCGACATTGATTTTTTTTTTAATACATATTTTCAGGTTATGAATGGAAGAAGGAGGTTTAAAGGTGGTTATTTTAATATGCTTATTTGTTGTTTCAGCTGGTAAAGGTAAAAATTTATTAATGCAATATTGAGAAATATTGTAAAGTTCTGTCTGTATGTGTGGGTATGTGTATGCATTGGTCTTTTGTGCCTACTACTTTTCTTGGTAGAATAGAGGAGAAAAGTTTGGGATTTGCCACTCCTACTCTCCTTTTCTAGCTGCATCTAATTTGTCTTAGTTTTGTTTCTAATTTTATTTATTTAGTGTGATTATTTAATGTTGAATCAATGAGATGGAACTACTGGATCTCACGTATCATTTTCTGGGTTTGGCTTAATTATACTAAAATTGCAATGGAAAAAATCAATTCTAGATTGTGAATTTGTGATAAATTTACTTGGTCAATATTGTACTAGCATGGCTTATGGTCCTCTTCTCTTCAATTGAAGTGTATACATCTATCACTAGTTCATTCTTCTTAGTATGTTCAACTACTCAAATATGCTAGGTTGGATTTATTCTTGATCATCGGAGGTGGTGCTAGGTAGTGGTTGTTTTGAAAAAAGTGTGACTTGGTCGGATTTGGTGATGATTAGTGGTTTGGTCGAATGGGTTTCTTTGGTGCTTGAAATTGAAATTTCTTTGGTGCTTGATTAGTTGTTAAATTTGATATTAAGTTGATTTAATGGGTTTTTAGGCTTTCGTCTGTGAAAGCAAGATTAGGTTTTTATATATGGTATTGAAGTTGCATTTTACATTTTGAATTATTGCATTTGAGATTTTTTAATTGATTCCTTTTTTTTAATTAGCGTGTACACAAACATTCACCGGCAAAACACTCGTGCACATTGACTTTGCAATTCACTTAATAGCAACACTTATATATACTTGCACTCACCCATTAGTGCAGTGCTCACAAACAATTCATGCAACACTCGTATGTGTGGGAAGTGTGCTTGGGGTTTTATGTAATTGATTTTTGTTCGAGAAAAATGAAATTGATTTTTGTTCCTTACATTATTTTCAATGTAGGAGCTGATGTGGATGTTAATTAAATGCATGCATTTGGAATTATTTGGATTTGATATATGCTGATCTATAATTTCTCTAATGACTATTGGGTCGCCTTTACGTGGTTGAGTTAATTGATAAATAGTGTATTAGGCATAACTGTAGCATGATAATGAGACTTTTGGTAGTCTTTTTGGATATGAAAATAAATTGGGTATATAGGTTGAAAATTTTGTAATCCCATTTTTAGGGGAATCTTTGGCCAAATTTTATGGTACGTGTGTGAAAAAATAAAAATTTTGTTTCATGAAGTTAACACTGATGAGACTCAAGGCTTAATGCATTGCAGAATTGAAGGCTTTGAAGCATAACCCACCAAAACAAATCCAAGCCTACAAATAAAACAATGACATGCCAACCACTTTAGCAACAAACCCATTATCTTGAATGTATGATTGACATATGTAGTTGAATGCTTCTTTGCCTTTCTTTTTTTTTTTTTCAACTTCATCTTGGCATTTCCAAGAGTGGTAACTGATAGAGAGAGAGAGAGAGAGAGAGAGAGAGAGAGAGAGAGAGAGATAGATGGGTTAACTAATGCATATTTTCACTTGAAGTGCAGGAAAAACACGTTGAGAGAGATGGGTTCACCTTGAATGGATTTGACAATACATTACCGTGTAGTTAACCCTAGAAAGTGGGCTTACATTACCATGCAATTAACCTCACAAAGTGAGCATCCATGACTCTATAAGAATCGACCATCTATATCGAATGGTGGTTTCTTCTCCAGAGTTTTTGGTGGTCTTTTTTATGATGAATAAATCCTGGAGACGTAAAGAGTAGGTATTCCATCTAATATAGATTAGTTTGTTAGCATGACTAATTTTTCGTTTGTCGGGTAAAAGGACTGACCTAGATGTAATTGCGTAGGATGAACTAGGTAACCAAAAATCACGATTATTGGTATAAAGCTAGATGTAATTATGGTTATCATATAAAGTGGGTAGTTTAACATGGAATGTGGGATAGTGGGCTAATGTAGTAGTTGGTAAGGTGTAGGTGGCAATAGTTGATTGTATGATGCTTAATTAAATAAATGAAAATTAGAACTGCTAGAGAAAAGGGGAGGGAACCTGCTGAGTGCAGTTCAGACATAAATTGATTGTTATATAAGATAATAAGATTTGTTTTTATTGGTACTAATGTTTTTCACTTTTGAATATCATAATTTTTTAGGATAATTATTAATTTTTATTATTGTTTTATTGTATGACCTGTCCATCCAGTTGACTCAATAGTTGAACCAGTGACCCATTAACCTCGTCTCTTTGCTGAGTTGATGTCCGGGTTGGTTTATTATTATGGTTTCAACTTCACATCCACTTGTAGTTGTTTCATATTCCACTGACGAATATGAAGTTGAACATGTTGAAATGTCGGAAGAAAATAATACTAAGCCAACGGCCAAAAATAGTGCACACCCTTTTAATTAAGAAAAGGTTGCCAATGAACCAATTGTATTTTGCTTTTTTTTTTAACACCACCAATTAACCAATTGTGAGAGAGAAAGAGAGAGCCTTAGAAGAGACGAACACGAAGAGTCTTATACAAGTCCTTCTAATAGCAGCAACTGACTCAGACGAACTAGTTGCAACTTTCAACCAATCAAGGGAGAGTGATGACCTCTGTTCGACTTCGATGTATGGATTCGAAGGATATGGTATTGATTGATGAGATGCGTGGCTTTTTCTTTCCCCTTTTTGTAACATGCTCTATGCGATTTGGTGTTTTATTGGGGTTAGGGTTTTCATTTGGAGTCTGGTTTTTGATTTTGGAATAGATTGAAATTTGGGGGGTTGTGATAGGCAATCTAGGTCATGAACGACCCCCGTTTGGGTTAGTGCAATTGAGATCGCGGGTCGTAGGGCAATGAGCGTTTTCTGGTAACCTTGGTCAATATATCTTTGTTGTGATGGTTTTAGCCCTAATATTTTTTCCCCTCTATTAGAAAAGATTGCATAGCTAAGTTGGACTTCACTTGCTTTCAACTACAATGTTGATTAATGGACTTGCTAAATTTAATTTGTATCACATTAATAAATGAAAATGTATTTCCCTGGCTGGTTGACTGATGCAACAAAAAATTAATGTATCCCTTGTTCCAATTTATGAGATATAGACTAATATGGACCTATTTTAAGCCATGAAAAGGAACCTTCAGAGCAGAGGAAGATCATCTCTTCCCAAAACTTGGTTTTTGATCACTGGTAGACAAGTTGTCTGTATAAATGCTGACTTCTACCATATGAATAGCAATTTCAGTTTCTTCTCGAATTGTTATGTTCTTTTCCTTCTTGGTGTATCTTGCTTATTCTACTCTTTCCTAAGTGTTTAAAAATGCAACAAAATAAAAAGATTTGATGAAAGGAGAAGGAGGAGGATAGAAAAGACTGATGGGTGAGGGTGTCCTTCTTTGGCTTGTTAACAGAAGTAAGGACTCCGCCATAAACAAGGTAGGTAGATTGAAACTGGCCGTACAATTCCTCATGATAGAAAGTGTTAAACACTTAGCTACAAAAATTACCTTCTTTAACTCAAGGAAATGCTTCAAAGATGGTGCCTTAAGGTTCCTAGGCCATGTTTTTTTCTTCCTTCTAATGCTCAGAATCTCATCTCATGACCGTTCAAAAAAAAACCATCATCTCATTTTCTTCCAGTGAGATCCTTTCTTCTCTTCTATTGGCATTCATCTATCTCAACATCATCTAAGCCATGTGTGTCTTTTTCTCTTCTTTTTACTGGTTTCATAACTTCCCAAGGTTTGTATTGTGACCAATAGCTGGATGTAGAACCTTCTTTAAAAGTTTGCCTTTTAACTTGGTAGGATTTTAGGACAACACTTGGCTGTTTTCATCAATATTTCTTTAATTCTATTAATAAAGTTTCCTGCACTCTCAAATTTTTTTATGAATACTTCATTTAATACAGTGGAATGATCACTTGTATTGTAGGTCTCCCTATGCTATATCAATTTTCACAAACACCTTTTTATTTGTCAATGTTTGTTCTGTAGATGAATGAACCTTTAAAGTCTTATTCTAGATATCCTTTCTTGAGTTTCAAGTTAGAAACTAAGAGTCATTTCTACCCAGAGTTTTGTCAAATGGAACTAGGTCGTTGGCCAGCAACATTGTCCATGATTAATTCCATTATTGACACTAATTACTTTAAGCACAATGCCAAACGGTTTTGACTCTATCAAAATTCTTGTTATAATCTTGTCATTGTTGAAGATTTACTTGTCGCCACTCTAGCACATCTTTGATTGGGTAATGCTTGTCTTTGCTAAATCAAATCAATAAATGCCATATAAGATTTTTTGCTTTGTTAATTTAGAATTTTGTTAATTCCACTGAGGCCCCAATCTAACACCCTTACCCTATGAAGCGTATTCTCCCTTCCTTCAACGTTGCACTGACTGACAATAGTGAGAAATTAGTTTTCGGTATGTTGTAAGCATGATCTACATTGTGGATCGATAAGTGCAAACATCGAGTAATTGAGGGTATGACCTGATATCAAAGCTTTGGTTCCTTGGTATCATAAATTTTAGTCCCATTGTTAACCTATGGTTCCCCCACTTGCTTGTGCATTGGAGATGCACCAACTTTTTTTGTTTATTCGTGTACATTGATGCATTTGGTTGTATATCTGACCTGATAATAGAGCTTTGGTTCCTTGAGATCATAAGTTTTAGTCTCCTTGTCAACCTATGGTTCCCCCACCGTGTTTGTGCATGGCGATGCACTAACTTTTTTGTTTGTGTATGTACATTGACGCACTTGGTTGTATATATCCCTGTGTGTGCAAGGGTCACTGGCGAGGGGGTGTTAAGAAATTGATATAGATTTTAGGCCTATTCTCAAATTGCTTAAGCTTGTATATTAGTCGAGTTGACTTGTCCAATTTCTAATGTCTACACCTGCGCTAGTTACTCAAGGTCTCTCATTGATAGTTTAGTTAAAAGAAAGTGCAAGTATCTTGCAATTTAGAACAATAGGGAGGCAGACTAGATGCATATTTTCTCTTCAGTATTAATAGATGTACATTGAAACTTCCATTGTTATGTCTTATGGAAATTTTGTCTTTTTATGCGTCATTGCTTTTGCTTAGACAATTGATACTGACAGACGAACAGTAGGTGATGGCTACAGTTTTTGGATGTCCTTGTTAATGTGTTTGATGTTAAATCTGTAGGGCTATAGAGAGACTGGGAGAGAGACTAGAGATGACTCGACAATCAGAAAGGTTTTCTGTAGATTTTGTGATGGCAGGGGCAACAGCAATAATATCGAAGAGTGCAGCTGCGCCGATTGAGAGAGTGAAGCTTTTGTTGCAGAATCAGGGAGAGTTGTTGAAGAGAGGGCATCTAATGAGGCCTTATACCGGGGTTGGTGATTGCTTTAGAAGGGTTTTGAGAGAGGAGGGTCTATTTTCCTTTTGGAGGGGTAACCAGGCCAATGTCATACGATATTTCCCAACCCAGGTAAACTCCCCCCTCCCTCTTTCTTATTTGCTTTTGTAATTTTGACATCATTTCAATTTTATACTTTTTGCTAGGTGAAAATGTAGATGTTTAATGGTTAGTTAGACATACTATCTTTCTACCTTATTTATTTATTGAAATTGAAGTTTTGATGAGAGAATTTGTATGTGCCTTCAAGCCTAAATTGGTGATTATATGGATTATAGTGATAGTAATTATTATTTTGTTGGATGTAGATTTTCTTTAGCAATTTTAATGTAAGTTTTGTTAACGAGTCAAATAAACATTTTTAAGATGTTTTTTCTATGTTGGGGTGGAGCCAGTAGTATGATCGAAAAAAATTTCACCGATTAATACAAAAACATTTCCAAGCATTATTATTAAAACAGTAAAATCAGTTTCCATTTAACTTAAACAAAATATGAACAAAAAAATCACAAAAATAACTTTTGTTTAGAAAAGTATTCGATATGTATCTATAAGTATTTGACGAGTATCGGATACGTATTAGATATGCTGGCGTCACCCCGATCTAAATATCCGTACATCATAGATGGGTTGGTTTGTTGGCCTTAGATTGGGTCTAGTTTGGAATATATATGGGGATTGAGGTCTTATTCCTTTAAGCGGTGGGTCAAGTTTACAAAAGGAGACAAGGTTGGCTTTATTAAAAATATGGGTGGGGTCCACACTTTGAAAACCCAGCAAGCAAGGTCTCTATGTATAGATGGTTTGGCCTCTGTGGAAGGAATAGATATCACTGGCTCATGTCCTCTCCCTCTGCCTCAACCACCATGGAGTCAAATAAATAACTAGCATGAATCTCACTCTGCTTCATTGACTCCTTCCCTAGAGGTTTCTATGGTGGCTTCTTCTGATTTGTATCTAACACAACAACTCTCTTGCTCAAATATATACGTGTGATCAATGCACCTAAAGGCAGACCATCTTCACTCTATCCTCATCATAAGCTATAGTAAAGACCCTAAATATCAACGATGACAAACCAATATACAAACCAATCCCCAGAGCATGTAATTGGAAAGCTCCCGGTACAGGAAAGGTAGATACATGATTCTTTGGATCGATGTTCTAATTTGTAATTAAATTCAAAATCCGGTAATTCCTCGTCAAATCCTTTTAGTTGAACTTTAAATGGTTCTAACCATCAGGATGTGGAGTACCCTATAACTAGAATGCGACCTCGAAAAGCTTAGGCAACCCTGACTTAGAAGGAACAACAAAATAGGAAGAAGTATAGCATCATGCAACTCTATGAGATCTGAAGGCCATCGCTTGGATGTTCCCCTAACCTAATGGATCCAGGGTCATCCCAGTCAAAGATGGTAAGAAGGAATAACATCAATAACATTCATTGTATGCATGGCTCTCAGCGATCCACATGCATTTATAACATGTTGTATTCGAGGGTTATTTGGACTGTGCTTGTTACACCACGGACAATCATCTTAGTCTTCGATTCATTACATCGATAAATGCACATTCTGCTCTATTGGGCATCTATGTGCATTTTAGACAAGCTTCTTCTCAAGCTTTTGTATTCCTAGCCATATTGGGCTAATAGTAACCTTATCTCTGCAATCATCTGAAGAGATTTATTGTTGTTGTTATTGGCAATCGAGTCAACAGAGATTTCAAATTAAGCACCACATACATATGTAGTGATGTGCTCACTATCAACAGTTGTATTCCGAATAGGTGCATAGAATTCCCTAACAATATTTCATTTGTCAGCTTTGTGGACACGAAGAGTTTTTTTTCTACAAAGAGTTGAGACCACCTTTTCGACTCAATTTAAAGGAATAGAGATATTCCTTACCCCAACAAAGTTCACTTTGCGTTCCATCATATTACAGGTCTAGAAAAATATTGCCTCTTATACAAATCTCGATTATGTGGGTCTTAGAAGGGACTTCTTTCCTCGAAAATACGTACTTGAGTTCACTCCGCATTTTGCACAAGTTGCTTGAGCGGTGTGGAGGTTGCTTAAGCAGTCCCTTAAGCTATCATCCACTGCGGCCAGTTTCAAAAATGCACATGAATGGGTGACATTAGGATCTATATACAATGTAATTTTTAAATTCAAATTAAATTGCATTTGAAGATGATGAAGCTGTCATTAAAATCAGTAGTGAAGTGACCAAAGGATATTGGACACAAATGGTATAGCAAGGGAGTGGTGCTCTCTGCCCTTCCCCCATGAAAATCACACTTATTCATCAAATAACAAATTCATCTTTACTACATCAGCTACACACATTACTTTAAGGCATATGAATGAATTTAGAACTCAATTTTCATGCATTATTAGAACAATTTCTTTTTACTTAGTATAGTTTCACTTGCACATATTCAAATTGTCTATCTGTGATCAAGTCATGTATGAGGTGTGTGAAATCAAACTCCGACACAATTAAAAATCTCTTTAGATCAAATTATTAACAAATTCTGATGTGAATTTCTAATGCATCGTCTAAGTGAATACCAAATCGCTTAATGAGTGGCCTATATATATTTTTATTTTCTCATATTTTTGGGCACACCCCCTTTTTTCAATCCCTTTCTACTCTTAATGACCTCAATAAGCATGATTGTAAAATTCCATACCTCACAAATTATGCCTCAATAAGCATGATTGAGCTTTGCGGGTGAGCATTTATAATAAGCATATAAGACTCAACAATTCAGATATTGTTGACACTAGATATGTCCTTTTTATGTCTCACATTTTTATATTTGGTTACATTGGACTCTTTTATCACATTTGGCTTTTTGACATCTTTTAAGGGATTTGGAGCTTTACTATCCTTTAGTTATGTATTAACCTATCACTAAGACTTCAGGTCATGCAAGGTCATTAATCATTTATGCTAGTAAGACTCTTAATCAATTAAGGTGATTAGTTAAGCGTGTACTTGGTTTTATGAATTTTCATCAAGATTAATACCATCCAAGCATGTTAAGGTGAAAGAGACTTGATTTAAGTCTTGAGCACTATGATTTATAACCGCTAAGTTCTCTATCCCCTACTATGACTCATAGTAAATGTACTTCAACTTTGATTTAATGATAGGAAAGTTACAATCCGAACCAAACAAAGAGAATAAGGGGTTAAGTTTCTTATGTCAGCAAGAGTAGTTATTCCCACCCACTTCTTGTAGGAAGGTTTTTATAGAGCCTCTAATTAACTCTTAATTAGGTTTTTCGCCCTAATTAACTCTGAATTGGTTTTTGCTCTTAAACAATTATTTTGTGTGTGACCCTATAGTATCAAACATATTCGGGTATAGGTATTTGATACTAGCTTCTAGTGATCTAATTCTCCCATTATAAAGATCAAAATCAATATTACATTAATTTTGTTCTTCTAGCTTCTACTAATTGTAAATGACACCTAGCATCACATCATAATTACACCTCTAGATAACATGAAGCAGGTAAAGAACTCATTCAGTGTACAATTGTCATGCAATTCAGTCATTCTATCACACAGTGTCCTAATTGAATTATTATGGTATGAAACTACTATCAAACTCCTATCTCAATCTTATGTGTTCGTTTTTATTAGAACTGTTTTTTTAGTTGTCATTCTACTTTGGCTAAGGGTTCATTGAGTCATCCTAGAAGATTACCGAAGACATTTTCCCTTTTCATTAAGGATGATCAATTTTATATTGTATGCTCACAAGTCTCCTTTGCATGTCTAGCTATGCCCAATGATACATATTCAAGTTATATGGTTAAAACTATATAATAAAACATGTAAGAAGTTAAATTTTATCCCCTATATATTTTTCCTTCCCAAAACTATTACATCACAAATTTTTATCACATGTTCAATCATTTTATATATAATTAATTTATTGTTTAACATAATTTTTATTTTAGACATTATGTATATACAACAGTATACACATGTTAAAATTTTTTTTATTGAATTACGAATTTTGAAAAATTTTTGTCCATATTTATAATAAAATAATGGGTAAAAATAAATTTTGAATAATGTAATCAAATAAATAAAGAAAATAAAATTTATTATTTAATGTAGTGAGATCTATTTTTTTGAGCCTCGAATTTGATGTTCATGCCAGACACGGATTATAACTAGTATGAATATATAGTAGAGTTAAAACATAGAAATCCATACACAAGATAACTGTAGTATTTCAGATCTAAGAATAAGTTGCATAACGGTAACTTGGGATATTGATAGTTATGTAAAACTCCATATGAAATATTCCATGTTAGTCAATGGTTATGTTCAGTGTACTTGGTCTTTAACAAGTACCCATACACTTGCCAAACTTACTACATGCTAGTCTGTTCGGATTATATAGTGTCCACATAGTAATTCTGTGACTAAAAACCATTAAGAGTTAAGTACTAGGAGTATCTATTTCTTCTTCTCAACGTTTTGAGAAACTATTTTCTTAGTTTATATTTTATGGATTTTATCCTGCATGTTAAAATGAAATAAATTAATAACATGATAAATAAACTTGTTCTTGTATTTAATTAAGTATTGAATGTTGTCACTACAACCATAATATCATATATGTGATTGATTTGAGGGCATACTACTAACACACACCACACACCACCTCTCTCCCAATGATACGCTTCCTTGTCCTCCATTGCCCACAATTCTGATGTCCCTAACCAGATTTCTTGTGGTAGAACTCACATAAAAACACACACACAAACACATTCACACAAAAGAAGCACACATACACACACTGTAGACACATTGTATCTCCCTCCCTCCGTACCTCCCCTTTCTATCAAATTTTGGACCCAAAGCTGGTGGGTGTCGCTGTCAGCATCTTTGCCGGCATGCAAGCAATGGTGGTGATGGAATTCTTGAAATGGTAAGTGAGTTTTTTAGTTCGGAAGTTGTGGATATATGCAGAGAGAGAGAGTGAGAGACCAGAGAAAATTCACCAGGTGATGCTTATGGCGGTCTTGTTCAATGCCACTATCACAACAAATTTTGATTATTTTGTATAGTGATCAACTTTCTAGCACTGGTTATAATGTTTGATGTTTCAGTTTAACTAATTCTTAGACTGATTATTCACGATTGCTGTGCTGCGTTTATCATCAATTTGTGTGTGTTGTGCTGAGTGAAGAGAGGTTGAAGATGAGTTGGTTGATTTTGGTGTAAATTTCAATCAAGGAATAAGGGATTGTTTCATCCAATTCAGGAATAAGGAGGGCTTTGGATGAGAGTAAATGAGTCATTTCTGCACCTTCCGTTAATTTGTGTTATGAGGTCAAAGCACAAGGGGTAATTCATAATTTGCCCTTGTTTTATTCACGTAGGTTAAGCTTGAACATAGACCTCCTTAAAAGTCTATATATCACATGCTCGGAACAAAAATAAGTAAAATAAAGGAAAGGACACAACAGATTTCTATAATCTGTCCTCAAGATCGGATGTATCAATTTTTTATTTTTTGGGGAAATCTGGTGCCTTTTTAAGCTATAACATTATTTATATGGTTAAAGGGATACAGTTGTGAAAGAAAAAAGGGGCTAAAGAGTTCAAAAAAAGCTCCCAAAACAGGTAGGAATGAGGGATATAGATGTGAAACAGTTTTCTCTTTGATGTTAATTTTAGCAGACACTTAATCTAGCTGACAAAAAAGGATGGCAGGAACAATGACATTCCTGGCAGGGGAAACACAAGAGTATTTTAATTTTTCTGTAGACAACAGTGGATCTAAGAATGATAACAGGATTGTACCACATTTATCCCTTGAATATGACCCCCCATTCCTTGTGGTCAATGATTCTTTAGAGGGACCAGGCTGTCAACCTATTAAGTTTGTAAATTGCTTTTTTATGTTGCACCTAACTGTACAGAATAATTTTTTCGCAATTTCCCTGTAGTTAATATGCATTGGATACTTTCACGTACCTTAAATTTGATTTCTGCTTCTCTTAGTATTTTAATTGCAGTTCTTCCTACACTTAGGAAATCTTTTACTTTTCTGACTTGGATGTTTAAAAATTTTTGACCACCAAAACTGATACTTGATAGCTATTATATTTAAAGTGAATGTGCTTTTTGTATTGAATAATAGAGAAAAACCTAGAATTGTGTTGTTACATTGCCTGTGTCCCGAATGAGGGGGAAGGAAGGGTGGATATCCCAGGTTGGCAACAAAATCTTTCGAGCAGGAAATATGAGAAAAAATGTCATTTGAAATTGAGCTCTGGTGCACCACAGCCAACGGCCAGCAGATGGGGGCCTTTTTGGTGTCTAGGGAGTTATGCACAACATCAGTGCATAGTTCTCTTTTTCCTGTCTTTTTTCTGCTATAAATATTCCTTTAAAAAATTCAGGTTTGGCATCAACTAATATAAATTATACTGCCTACACAAAGATACTTGTAAATTAATGATAAAGGTGATGCTGTACCTCAATTTTATGTTTATATTTTCCGAAGTGTTTGTCTTGATGCTGCTGCCAGATGTTAGTACTGAATAAAAATTTTATGGATTCTTCACAGGCTTTCAACTTTGCATTCAAAGGGTACTTCAAGAGCCTATTTGGATGTTCAAAAGAGCGAGATGGCTATATAAAGTGGTTTGCTGGAAATGTTGCTTCAGGGAGTGCTGCTGGAGCAACCACTTCATTGTTTTTGTATCACTTAGATTATGCACGGACCCGCCTTGGCACCGATGCAAGGGAGTGCCCAATTAGTGGTAAACGGCAATTTAATGGCCTACTGGATGTATATCGTAGGACCTATTCAAGTGATGGAATCGTAGGCCTGTATCGGGGATTTGGGGTTTCGATCATGGGAATTACTCTTTACCGAGGCATGTACTTTGGGATCTATGACACCATGAAACCTTTTGTTTTAGTTGGTCGTTTTCAGGTGAGCAGTTTTACCTCCAACCCTTTTGTTAGAATTTCTTCTTCTTTGACTTGACACTTATTTTTTGAGGATCAGCTACAAGCCTAAATCTACTGAAGCTTGTGTGTAGGGTGGTTTTTAGTTTTTAGTTTTTAAAGATATCTCATACTTCAAATTACTCTTGTTTTTGCCAAGTGAGGAGCTGTTTGTTGTTTGCATACAGTTAAAGATCTAATTTCTTTGCCAATCTCTTGTGCTCCATGGTGGAGTGTTAATCAAAATTTCATATTCGCAGGACAGTTTCTTTGCTAGTTTCTTCTTGGGTTGGAGTGTGACAACAGTTTCTGGGGTCTGCGCCTATCCCTTTGACACATTGCGACGTAGAATGATGCTAACCTCTGGACAACCGTTGAAGTATCATAATGCCAGGCATGCATTCTGTGAAATAATTTGCCTTGAAGGTTTTAGCGCACTGTTTCGAGGAGTTACTGCAAACATACTTCTTGGTGTGGCAGGGGCTGGAGTACTTGCAGGATATGATCAACTTCACCGAGTTGCATATAGAGGTGGTCATACTTTTTGAGTCTGAAGGAGCTTGGAAATAAAATTCCTGCAACAAGTTTCTGCACACTGGTATATAGCTTGAAAGTCGGTACATAACCCACAAATATTCAATTATTTTTAGAAGGCAAAGAGAGGTATGACAAAATAGTTCTCCATAATTTTTCTGTAAAATAAGAATGAGCCAGAGAATAGGGAATGATGATCCATCGTGACAGCTACCTGCTTCCCTCCAAAAACTCCGAAGTTTAGCTATCCAAGGATATACTTTTGATATTAAACTGCATACTATGTACTTGTTCTTATGAGCTAAAAGGCCAGAGAGAGGTATAATTGACAATACTTCCACTTGAAGACTGCACTCACAAGGAGACCCTTGTCACAGAAGTGATGAGTCCAGTGTGTTGTATGTGGTGCCCTTTGGGTTTTCTGTGTACCAAAAACAGAACAGAAACGGAAGACGAAAATGACTCCCAAAATGAAAACATGGAAGAGGGAAATTTGAAATGCTTCTGTGTATATTATCTGTACAGTTGATTGTGATATATCGATTTTTTTTCCAATGCCGTTGGCTGGATTATTGGTTTTATTGTGAGTTTGAAGTCGAAATTCCTAGTAGAACCATTATGCTATAGTTTGTGTAGCTTTTGTCTGGACTTGGGTGTTTGGCCAAGGGAGTAGCCACTTTCTATGCGTGTGGGAAGAAAGCAGAATAAAGCTTTTGAATAAGATTTGGATATCAAAAGTTGTTGAATGCGTATGATAGCAGTGAACTCCAATTTATGGTGGGTGGTGATCTCTCTATTGCTGGTTCGTTCAATTCTTCAATTCTGTTTTTTTTTGGGTAGCACATCTGTGATTAAAGCTATTTACAACAGGTATTCTTTGATACTTTATTGTCCAACAGGGTCTGTCCTGACTTGCATATATTCTGTTTCATCTCAAGCTCCCATTCTGAACTTTTGGCACGCGGGAATGGAGAATCTACCTAACCCGAAAGGCATTATCAATCTGTCGCCTACAATCTGAAATGTGCATCCACAGGTACGGTACCTTTGTAGATGGCTGTTGTGCGTGTAAGATTCTGTACAATATAAAAAATGAGAACAGATCTCTCCCTTGGTGAACTCGAGTGAGTCAGTTGAGTGACTAACCACGCTGCTTGGAACAGCTTGCGAGGTCCGGTGGTAACCTGGAACGGCAACGGGAGACCTTGGGAGAGCGGAAGAACGATCCAGTAATGCTGAAAGAGGTTTCTAGAACAAAGAAGAACAAGTTAGAAGGGCGCCGGAGTGTTTTTCGGCGTATCCCTTTCGACGATTTAGTCAGTCTTTGAGAGAGAGAGAGGAAGGAGAAAACACTGAGTGTGTATTGTAGTAAAGAGTTTTTTGTTGCATACCCGTCTTGCCTTTTGCAAGGAGTATTTATACCTCAAAAGCTCATGATTGCTGTTAGTGTAGTCAGTAGGTGATCATTAGGTACAGGCAGTGTGCGCACTGATTTTGATGAGAAATGTCTTCTCTTCTTAACTGCTCGGGGTCCCGAGCAATTAATGCTGCGTCATCGGGATGCCGACGGTACAATATACTCCTCTCGGGGAGGATGCAATAAATGCTCTGTATTAGGAGCATTTATTGCCTTTCATTTCTGAGCCTTACCGCATTGAATGCAGTCTCGTCAAGGGAGTGGTGCAATTAATCGTTTGTGTTCTCAAGTCGCGTGTCAGCAACGACATGCGACTTTTCTGTTTTTGATGTTATATCGTATGCCATGCGTTCACCCCCCATTGGCTGTGGCCCCTGCATTCCAGTACGTTCTGACACTAATTGTGTAAGACGAGGTCATGATGAATAGCCTAGACTAGCTTAGGCTAATGACCTGTACGTCACTAGCTTATCCTAGAGTAGAGGGGGCGTCCAGGACGGGGTACACCTCGGCACCGAGGAAAGGCTCATCTCGGAACCGAGGGAGGGATACCGACCGAGGTACCATATCAGACCGAGACTACGTGTTGGTTGTAAAACGTACTGAATGCCATGATCCTATATGACGAGTACCTCGGGGGCGAGGACGTTGTGCGCCGATGGTGCTTGATCTTAGCAACAGTGTTTTGGTAAATACCGAGGACACGTGTCTTCATCATGGAGTATTTCAGAAAAGTCTCATCAACTGCCCCCAGCCTTCGATCTTCTGACACCGAGGGCACGCGTCGTAAGGAGACGAAGGGTTTCCCAACAACCACAAATGCTTCATCATTGCCTCGAGCCGCTTTTCCTGGCTTGGGATGTCGTGTGCATTAAATGCGTCGTTTCGTTTTTCGCGCCCAATGATGAAATTGCCACTATATAAATGGGGTTCCTCTTCCATTTTCTTGTTTCGCCATTCCGAACTTCCTCAAGAGAGCCTTTTCTTGAATCTTCGCCGGAGATCTCTTTCCTCTTCCATCGTCAACTGCCCATTCTTCCTTAAAGTCTTAAGGCCAGCAGACCATCGTTGCTTCTGAACTTTTGGAAGGAGTCGCCTAAAGTTTTCCAGAAAAAACTCCGTTTGACATTCGGGTGAGTTCTAGTATCTTTCCTCTTTTCTTCCTCCTATCCCTTTTTGTTTTCCGATGACTGGAGGTGTCTCCGGTTGATACATAGCGACTAATCCTCGGGAAGCTTCCTCAGGAATTTTTAAGGAAAAACACCCTCCACTTTCTCACTTTCTTAGAGATGCCTCGTCGTCGCCCTGCTCCCGAGAATCCTCAGGCTGGTTCTTCGGGGTCGGGGAAGTATAAAGTAAAGGGTGGTGAGCAGATTAATAGGTTTAAGGTCAAGTACGACATTCCCCCGTGCGTAGACATAGAGGATTATGACCCGGTGGTGCACTCTCCTACCCTCGGGGCCGAGGATGCTATGCCCTTTTATACCAAGGCCATAATAGAGGGAGGAATTAGGTTTTCTTTACCCCCTTTACTTCTTCAGTTCCTCTCTCACTTCCGCCTCTTCCCCGGGCATGTTGCCTTAATGTCTTCAGAATAATTATGGGGGTCTTAGAGCTCAATAGGCGTCTCGGGGTAAATATTGGGCTCAACGATCTCCTTTTTTGTTATTCCCTCTTGAGAGTCATGCCTCACCAACACTTCTACCTCAAAGCCAGGGACCCCTCCATGTACCTTGTAACTCATCTTCCCGACTCGGACAAGGGGTACAAGGACGATATTCTTATTTTCAAGGGATCTTGGCAGAGAGGTGTTGGTCCCGAGTATAACGGCTTGTTATGCCCTCTGGAATGGAGAACGACAAGTACGTCGGTTCCTTCGGGTTTATTATTTTGTTCTCCAGATTTTTCATGTTCATGACTACTTTTTTGTTTGTGCAGATATCCCTGCTCGGGAAACAGCTCCTCCCCCTCGGTCGCTGGTGAACTTTGCCGACCTAGTCACGGTTTGGAGATTTACTGGTGACAACGGGTTCGGCCGGGCTGCCCACATCCTGCTGAATTACACCCCCGGGTATAAGAAATTTTCACAGCTTCCTCAGCCTTTTGAGCCTTCGCGGTGGTCTGAACTCTTCGATCAGGCGGCGAGGCAGGAGGTCGAGGAAAACTTGGAGGAAGACCCTGATCGGGCTTCGGAGGCAGAGGTAGAGGGAGTAGTTGAAGAGCTCGGGGTCAGAGAGGACGTTGTTCCTTCGGACGCCGAGGTGGGGACTTCGGGAGGAGACTTGTGGCCAGACTTCCAAGTTCTACAATCTCTAGACTCCGAGGACGCCCTCGAGGTCGCGATGTCCAGCACGCCTCGTATTGACCTGGGGTTCCTGAGGCAGAGGCAAGCTCTTGCTGCCGGGAGGGGTCGAGGATCGACCGGCGGCGCCCCATCTGCAGGGACCAGTTCCACCCCATCCTCAAGAGTTCTCAGTCGGGGTCAAGTGCGTGACCGGGATCCTCAGGTAGAGGAGGAGAGAAGGGTCAAACATAGGCACGATGGCCTCGGCAGAGGATCCAGGGCATCTTCCGCTCAGCAGCAAAGCGGGAGAGGCCGTGGGTTACCCCCTGCTCCTCCGCAACAACAGCAACAACAACAACAACGACAACAGCAACAACGGCAGCAGCAGACTCCCCCTTCCCCTCCGCCGACAGTGGAAGCCGCGGAGTGGAATCCCCGAGCCACCGATCACATGAACCGAGTGATCAGGGTCGATGATTCCATTTTGCTGGATCCTCATGTCGCCAATGCAGTGAGTGAGACACTGCATTTCGAGGCTGACATGGCGGCTCACAGGGGGCGATCAACGAACGTGTTGTTCCGCTCTATCATCCAGAATTCCCTGGTGGTAAGTTCATTTTTGCTTTGGTTTCTTCTCTCTCGCTTTCCATTTTTGTGACACGCCTTTTTCCCTCCTTTGCAGGCTACCCAACAGATCTCCATAATAGCTGCGCGGTACCATGGGTCTAGGATGGACCTCCAGCGGGCCCGAGAGCAGAAGGAAGAGGCGGAGGGGGCCCTCGCCCGAGCTATGGAGGACGTAGCTGCCAGGGATTCTACCCTGGCGGGGCAGGCTGCTCAAATTGAACAACTCCTCAAGGATGCCGAGTCGGCTAAGGTTGGCGCTGAAAAGCTAAGTGCTGCCCTTGCCGATGCTGAGGGGAGGATCACCGAGCAGACGCGGCGGCTTTCTGCCGCGGAGGAGAGGGCGGTTGGCTCAGAGGAAAGCTGTCTGGCTCTCACCCAGGAGCTGGACAGGATCAGAGCCGAGGCACTGAACAGGAAGTCGGAGGAGCAACTCCGGGAAGAGTTCGCCGATGACGTGCTCCCTGCTCTTGAGGAAAACAGCAAGGAGTTCTTCAAGAAAGGGTGGGACGAGGCGCTCCAGTCTGCTGGAATCCCGTCAGACTCCCCGCTCTTCCAGATGCACAAGTACGTGCCCTCGGCAGAGATGGAACGGGCCGAAGCAGAGATTGCTGCCGAGGATGAGATCCCAACGCCGGTGCAAGTC